AATCGGGGGTTGGGGGAGGGAGGAGAAAAGGGAGGCAACCACAACAACGGATACGCACAACGTCCTAGATCCACGGGGTAGAATATTTAGGGAACTGTACCTGGAATTTATTAATGTGAGTCGAGCGTGCTTGCGTGGAGACTACCGTCCAGAGCGGTCCACGTAACGAATACCAGATGCACAACGGTTCCTACCGTGGGTTTTGGACTGCTTCAGAACACAAATAAAAATAAACAGTGTGCACTGCCTCCAGCAAAAACAAAGAGAATTCCAGGCTTGGTGTCTCAGCCAAATCTTTCCAGATAGTGCTGCACATCGTTGACAGATGGCGTAAGTCTAGCTAGCGAGAAGAGAAAGGTCCTTCATGAGCAGCATGGGTAGATAGTTGAAAATGTCCTCGAGGGGGTACAGAAACAGCGGTCTGGACAGCGATGAGCCCATCACAAGTAGCATGTGAAGCTAAAACCCCGACTCGAGGGGGAACGGAGGCAGTTGTCTGGACAGCGTTATCTATGCCCTTCACAAAAAACACTTGTAGTTGAAAATGGACCCCGGGGGGAACAAGAGGCTATCTGACCACTGTCGTAGCGTTAAGCACTTCACGAGCAGCATGAGTAGTTCAAAAAGGCCTGAAGGGGTGACATAGATGATTCTTCCAAGCGCAAAGTCCTTCATGAGCAGCATGTGTAAGTGAACATGGACTCAAAATAGGGGGATCAGATAACATTCGTCTGACCAGCGAAAAGCCCGTTCGCGAGTATTCTTGTGTTTCTGCCGCCATCTAGTCCATTGAGTCACGTAAGCCTGCTAACCGCCGAAAAACACGGTCTCAACCCGCACACTCCGCCAAAAAACGATGCACCAAAACGAAAACAAAAAAATCATGCGGTTGGGTGGCTAGGCGAACCTCTCTGCTAACGCACATTTTTCAGCAGTTTCGGGCAGTTCTTCGTTCCGGTTCAGAGGGGTACTTTTGCCATGCTTTTCTTCACCCCCCTTCAAGGAGCGCCGTGCCTCAGTCCTAGATTTTTCATATTTCACATGGTGCTTGTTGCCGGTGTAGAGGGAGCCACCGCCAACACCTTGTGATGTTTAAATGAATGTTTTTCTTACGGATGCACCAAAATAAAAAGAAAATAAAGACGTTTTTTCGGTGCCCTCTTCGATTGGTTGTATCAGTTCCTCTCGGCGGAGGAAGCTAGGCGAATCTCTCCACAGTTAAGAGTATTCATTTTCTTAGGGTTATGGTCGGGGATAGAGTTAGCGAAAATGAGGCGAATCGTTCACCTTTAGGCCGTCAACCTCGTCCTCCAAGTCGAAGATGACGCTCTCCAGATCCCGCCGGTCTTCCTCCCGCGCCTTCCTTTCCGCACCAAGCTGATTTCTCAACGCATCCACGTCCTCCTCCCACTGAACCATGAACCCCTCCTTCTCAGCGACAGCCCTGTTGCGCACAAAGAAAGAACAATAACAAGGGGGGGGGGGGGGGGGGCTTGTTGGTGTTGTCGTACGGTCGAAAATGCTTGCTATCCTACACACAACGTGCATGCTGACGTAAAGGACAGTAATTCAAAACAAATGATATCGTTATTGGTCTTCGAAAGGGTTGTCGAAGAGAAGGATGGATGCAGAACGAAAACGAGTTTAACTTTACGCCTGTTTTCGCAAAGAGCAATCCATCACATCAGACCCCCGACCTTCACCTGTCTGCGTCTTCCTCCGCCTCCATAAGAGCGGCCTCGAGTGCCCGGACTCTCCCACTTTACAATATCGCACTAAACCCTACCAGTGTACAACAACGATCTATAGGCGTTTCTATACCACACTAAATCCTACTTGGTAAGCAATAACAATCCATAAGTTTTACTCCTATCACCCTAAATCCTGGTATGCAATAGACCCCGCCGGGCATGAGATCTCACCTATCCGCGTCTTCCTCCGCCTCTTCCAGAGCCGCCTTGAGTGCCCGGACTCGCCCCTTCACGGTAGCCCGAACTCGACCCAGCTCTGCCTCCAGAGCATCAGCCCTCTCCGCCTCCACTGTTTTGATACAAGGTACGCATGATAGCGATATTCATATATACACATGTAGCCGGAAAACAAATCGTCGGCCCAGCCTCTCTCCGCCTCAACTGTTTGATACAACAATGCATGATAGCGATATACATACAAGTATATGCATATGTAGCGGGAAAATAAATCATCGCCTCGGCCTCTTTCTGCCTCCACTGTATGATACTTTAGTACTACAAGTAGATAGCGAATTACAGATGGGGTCGTTGACGTCAGACCTGATTCAACTATCGCTCTCTCTCCGCGTCCACTGTTTGATTAAAGCACGGGGCAAAAACAAATGATCGGATCAGCCGCTCTATCACCCCCCCGATCGATCGAGTTTCACTGCTCCGATACTCCCACAACGAAAAGGATGAAGCATAAACCAGACGACGATGAGACATTTTCGGAAGGCTCTTCGTCGACGAAGAAATCCCGATGCCGCCGTTTTCGGAACGGCCCCTCTTTCCGCTTTGGAGAAGTATGTCGAGTTTAAAAATCCAGTCCAGGAGTGTGGTATCTAACGTTACCTACACTCCCCCTGGACCGATTTTCGAAGCTCGACCAAAAGGATGCCGAAGGCAAACGATATGTGTTCGGAAAGCTCTCGCCGGGACGGTTCTAACTCCGCGATTTTCGGCACCGCGACGGCTTTCCGTGCCGAGTGATCGAGCTTCGAAACTCGGCCCATGGGGTGTGGTATGTAACATCATGTCGTATACGGTATTCGATCACCGTCTACGGAAAGCACTCGACGAGATGTTGTATCCAAAACGACAAGGTGTCAGCACACAATCTTGATTGTGAGCAATCAACCTGTCTTTGTAAATCGGTCAAAGCGGGGGTGCCATATCCCCGCGTCTTACGGTATACGTAAGGTACAGCAGTCTTTTACGGCATACCCGCGGCTCTTACGGTATATGGTAAGGTGCAGCAGTCTTACAGAACTAGCCCGCAGTTAGGCAACATTTCGCCAAGAAACAGGCTCAATTTTTTCCACGAAAATTAGGAAAGTAGCGGGCACGGGCCTAATGTGGATCCCAGACTAAAGTTTGGTACATGACAACAACAACCTGTGCTCGACAGCAAAAATGGCGACGAAATAGAAGACGGGATGCCATACCCCCGCCTCTCACGGTATACGGTACGGTAACGGTACCTGACAACAACCCGTACTCGATAGCGACATAGGCGACGAAATAAGAAGACGGGATGCAATATCCCCGCCTCTTACGGTATACGGTACGGAATACGGTACGGTATACGGTACGGTAAACGGTACATGACAACAACCTGTGCTCGACAGTCGTGGAGACGAATTAAGAAACTGAGCCTCGACCCGACTTTGATGCTTATTGTCGCCGTGCCCGCTATGCACAATACCGCAAGAGGCGAAGAGACGGCACCCCCTCCTAGACCGACCTCCAAAGCTCGATTGCTCCACAACCAAGATTGTCTGTACCGTACCGTACCGTATCGTACCGTGGTATTCCGTAAGAGGCAGAGAGATGGCACCCCCCCTAGACCGACTTTGAAAGCTCTATCTCCACAACCGAGGGGGTGCGGAAGGAGCCAGATACGTCTACGGAAAGCCCTCGGCGACATGCTTCCAGAACCACCCTTTTAGGTGTTGGCACAAGCTTGGTTGTGGAACAATCGAGTGTGGAATATCGATCTAGGGGGTGCGCTATCTCTCCGCCTCTTACGGTACTTTGCTACCGCAGCTCGAAGCAGCTCTCGCGCCCCCCTCCCCCCGCGGTTGATGCATGGGGTGTATGTAGTGTGGTATACTAAATCCAATATATGTCGCAATTCTATGGGATTAGTGTAATATAGTAAAACTCATATCTATCGTTATTTAATACTTCAACCATAAAAGGTTGTGGTGCGATATGGTAAATCCTATGCTTCTATATGTCGATTTTGTATGGAGTAGGATTTAGTGTGGCATAGAAAATCTTACCTGTAGACTATAGGATTTAGTGTGATATTTTAAAACCTATATATATATCGCTCTGCATCTCACCGTTGGCCCGATCTTCCCCCGACTCTGAGGCGCGCTCCGCCGACCGTAACCTCTGGCGCAACCTCGTGTTCTCCGCCCTCAGTCCCTGCACCACCCGGTTGACGCCGGCCTCCCTGAACGCTCTCTCCTCGTCATTTTCGTTGCCCGCCGTTGCCGAAGAAGAAGAAGAAGCAGCAGCGGCTGAGACCCCCGTTGTAGAAGGAGGCATTATCGTCTGTTTCGACGACGGTGCTGATGATGGCTCCCTGACGATCTCGCTGCTGCTGCTGCTGCTTCTTTTGTTGTTGCTGCTGCTGCTGCTTCTGTTGTTGTTGCTGCTGTTGCTGCTGCTTCTGCTGTTGCTGTTGCTGCTGTCTGCTTCGGCGTTGCCGCCGCCGTCTACTTCAACAGCACGAACATCATCATCCGGGTCGACACCGCTGCCACCGCTGCCGCTGCTGCCGTTCACCACAGCATCGACAACAACAGCGTCCGCCGCTACCCCAGGCCGAGGGGCAACCACACCACCCTCCCCCGCACTAGCAAGCAACCACGGCAAGAAAAACCCACGACGCCCGCCGGCCCCATCCCCCCCGGGGACGCCCCAGCCGAATCCCCGGGTGTCAACGCCGCCGAAGGGAGGGGACACGGGAGACGCGCCCCCCCCCACGGCAGATAACGCCTCCAGCTCCCTCCGCAGGGCGGCGTTATCGCGCTGCAGCGACTCGACAACGCCGACATCACTACCGTCTTTCTCCTCGTCCCGCTGCTGTTGACAAATGCCCGTCGTCGTACCGGCTGATAGCGGAGGGTAAGCTTCCGCCGAATTTTTTGCGACGTTGGCCTCAACCGCCTCGAGGGCAGACGTGGCCTTTTCCACGAGAGCGGCATTCGCGCGACGGAGGTCCGTCTCCCTCGCTCGGGTTTTCACGACCTGAGGCGCTGATTGGACGCGGGCGGGCGGGGAGGGGGGGGGGGGGTACTGCTGTTTGGCGTGCCCTAACGATTGTTAGCCTCTCTCGCCCGGGTTTTCCCAAGCTGGGGGGGGGGGGTACTCACGTCAAGACATGGGGAGTGTGCATGTACTCATGAAAACATATGGGGGGTGTACTCATGCAAACGCATGCCCTAGTTGTGAGATCGTTGACCTCGCATCACTGCAATACATGCCGGGACGGAGCGGTGTGTGTGCCGGGTTTTCACGCGCGGGGAGGGGGGAGTACTCATGTTCTGCGTGCCCTAGCGAGTTCTAGTCCCTTGCCCGGGTTTTCACGACCTGAGGCGTAATTGGACGCGGGCGGGCGGGGAGGGGGGGGGCAGGGTACTGATGATTAGCGTGCCCTAGCGGTTGTTAGTCTCTCGAACGGGTTTTCGCCAGCTGAGGCGTTGTTGGGCGCGCGCTCGCGGGGGTGCACTCATGTAAACGGGTGACGGGGTACAAGTATTCATGTCTTGCATGCCTTATCGGCTAGATGATTGACCACGCGTCCTCGATAGGAAGGAGGACGGAGTATTGTTCCCACAGGACCGATCAGGTCGGCGTGTGTGTGCTCATGTAAACGCATGCCGTAGACTGTAGACCATTGACCTCGCGTCCCTACAATGCATATGTATCCCTGGTTTTCACAACCTGAGGCGTGATTGGACGCAGGCGGGCGGGGAGGGGGGGGAGGGGGGGGTACTGCTGTTTGGCGTGCCCTAGCGATTGTTAGCCTTTCTCGCCCGGGTTTTCGCAACCTGGGGGGGGGGGGGGGGGGGGGGTTCTC